CCTAAGATGAAATATATTTTTGGCTCAAATTAATAGCCTGCATAATTTTAACTTTGGGGGATGAATTGATTATATTTATATTTTATTATAATCTAAAAACAGCTTAGTACACTCTTAATAGATTTTCCAACATTACAGGAAAAGGCAGAGACTAGTAGACCTTGGATAAGCAGATAAAATGAGATGCTAGTGATAAGTATTTTCAGTGGTCTCATGACTGTCATGCCCATTCTACTTTACACCTTCTAATGCCACTTAAGGTATCTGAATTTTATTCAGAATGCCAAGAGAGAAAATATTTACACACTGTATGTTAGTATTACATACCAAAATTTTAATTTTATATAATTTCCCACAGTTGTGTGTAGCAAATATTTGTGAAGTTGTTTGTTGATAACCTCATTATACCTTCCAAAGAAGTGTTTCCATAGAAAGATTAATACATAATAAAAATTACACTTAAAACTGTCCATTATACTTTCAGAAGCATCCTATCTTTTTCATCATCCAGTCTCTGTGCATTTAATTCTTTGAAATAGCCACTGCAATGTATAGTCTTATAAAATTGCATTATAATTACAAAGATATGTATGGGAACATAACATCCCCTCTGATGGTAAATGTTTGACCTAACTACAAGCTTATAACAAAGAATTCTTAACTACTTTTCATCTCATGTAAAAACCTTTTATAGTACTAAATGAACCAATAGGGATCTTTGAGGTTTTTTGTTGTTGCTTTTTTTTTTTTTTGCTTTGTTTTTATTAATTGGATATACAAAGGATAAAGCATATCAAGAAACTATTATTTTTAAGTGTAAAAAATGTGCCAAACAGACACTTATTATTTCTGTTTTATTTGAAACTAAGACTGTAGACCCACAGATTATATTTTAGAATGGTGGAGACTCAATAGATCATCTCCCAACTCTTTATAATAGAGTGAGGAAGCTGAGACCCATCAAGCTTAAGTGGCTTGCTCAAGGTCACACAACCAGTGACTGTCAAACCTTATAATCAGGTCTATTATTATAAGATGGATATGGATTGTGTTAGTGGCACATTTAAACATTTGACGACACTCCAAGCAGGAAATGTTTCCTTATATTTAACATAAATCACTTACTTCCTCTTACTAGATACTTGGAAGAAATGGAGAGCAGCTGGTGCCTGTAATTCCACTTCTCTTATAACTTCATTATTTCTCATCATTTTTAGGAAATTATGAATTTCTAATTAGGAATTAGAAATAATTTAGGAATTACCATTTTTCCTAATCCTCTTCAAAAACACCTTGCACACCAGGATTGCATTTTTTTTTAACCAGAGCAGTATATTTCTAAAGGATGCTTAGTATATGCTTCCCTGGATTGACTACACAATTGCAAGTTTTTTTGGTAAAAATTAAGAATTTTTGATGTGGCAGTAACAGAGCTTTAAACCAAGTGCCAGACCTGCATATCATAGGTTTTCTGTCCATGAAGCTGGCCCTGATAGTTCAAGATATTATTGCCTGATAGTTGCTTTTATAAAGATTATCATGTCAAACTGTATAGTTAAATGTTTTGATATGCCACCGAGAATGATAATTTTTTTGTAAAATAAGATCATTTTCTTTTCTTTCTCTGTTGATGAAGTTACGTTCAGTAACACTGAAGCTCTTACTGAGATTTCTTGAGGGAGAATATTAGAATTGTATAATTCAGAAATAAGCAGTGAATATTCTACTTGGAGTTGTAGTATCTAGAATGCAGGAACCAAGTTAACCAATTGAGGTCAAAAATGTTACTTAGATATTCAGTGTCCACTATATAATTGGATTTGGTCTTGGTCATTTAATTGGTAGGAGAATGTTTGGAGATTAATAATTTTAAATTTAATTTTTAGATTCAAAAAATTTTTAAAGAATATTTAAAATGAGACAGCTTGCATCAGCTAACACTTTTTATATTAATATAAATCACTTACATGGTGATGCAAATGTGTTTTACCAGATATGCTGAATTTCACTAAATGAAATGCTAATACTCTTCTTACACATACGCGAGAATATAATATAATCTGATGTTTGTATATACATACATTTTATATGAAAATTGATTAGCTTTTTGTTACATCTGATTTTTCTATTTGAATAATGTCCGGTACTCATTTCATTTGAATGAATTTTATAAAAGTGGAAATGGTGCTTTTAAAGTAAATAGTATTTGAAGATTTGTAAAGAGCAAAGACTAGCCTATTTCAAAAAAAAAAAAGACTTAAGCAAAATTATGTCCAGGTGATCAGATAACCTGGGTGTTTATTTTTGCCTGTCCATAAATTTTTAGATACTTTATTTTTAACTATAAAAAACTTGTAATTTATTTCATAGCATAAGTATGGTAAAAGTGCCCTGTCACATACTTTTCATTTTCATATAAATATTTATATCAATACCAACTTTTAGATGTATTGGTTACATTATTGCTATATTAAAAACTTACTATATAACAAATATACTTATTTTACTTTTTACATGTTGGCATTCAATTTTTAATCAGAGCTAAACATTTATATAAGGCGGCCTTTTTTAAGGGAAAAAAGGATTTTCAGATAATAATGTTATTTGGCTAGAGAATTAACTTTTAAAAAGATAAGTGTTTATTGGACGTTTTAAGAGAAAGTTGTTCTTTCTTTTTTTAAAATTCTTTGGCTTTATGGAAGTTCCCACTTTGTAGTGCTAATGTACATTTTACCCATAGTAAAAAGAATTCCAATTTTCATTGCCTTTTTGCTGTTCATCCTCTTGTAAGAGATAGCCAACAGTGCCACCCTCAGAACAGACAGGCTTTTCTCATTGTAAGCGTTGGTTTTCTAAAAAAAAAAAAAAAAAAAAAAAAAAAAAATATAGGAAAAAAAGAAACTAGAAACCAGAAAAACCTTAACTTAAGGAATGGTTTAAAAACCACATATGTTTAAACAGACACATTAAAAATAATGAGAGATACTAATGGTATAATGGAGCTGCCTTTATTTTATGACAAAAGCAAAGTCATGTTACTCTTCTAAGGCCTATAACTAACTTAGATACTTAATTCTAACCCGGTCATTTTGAGTAGTATTATATTGAATTCAGTTTATTGTCACCATTTTTAACTTGTAAGTGACAGTCTCAAAGAATACAGAAACGTGAAAATAATCAGATCATATTGATCTGGTAGCATCTTCTCTATTGTGCAGTTAGGGGGCAATTTTGAAGTTATACATTTTCTTTTAGATTTGATTTCTTTTTTATAATCATATTTAAAAAGTAAACTGCCAACTACATTATAATTATGATGATTTCAAAATTTGTATTAAAGCATAAAAAATTGTTTTCATGGTCTGATACATACATACATGATATGGTATATTTGTTTTTGAATGAAAAGAAACCTGGTCCGCATCTTCCTGTTGACATCAAACAGTCCTCTGATAATGCTAATCCAGCATCAGGGAGAGCACATATACAGGGTTTAGTTGGACTCATTCCAAATCTGAAAGAAAATTATGTGTAAAGAACTGATTTTGCAGCATTGCCCCCTTTGAATGGAAACTGATGTTGACACAGTCTGCAATTAAAAAGACTTAGTATTGAAACATGATATGGGAGGTTTCTAACATTTTAGTAAGACACTGATTTGCTTTTTAATTATCTGGTCATTTAATTCTTATTCATTCTTTGGAGTGTAATGTTACTGGTGTAATAGCTATTGAAATTGCTGATAAATTTATTTCTGTAGTATGTGTTGTAAGAAAGATTAATGTAAGATTATTAGCTTTTCCTTAAGGATTTATCCTTTGGTACATACATTGAGTACATATGAGATAGTAGATAGAATCTTTTGCTAAGTGGGAAGTAGAGATATCAGCAGATTTCCTTGTACTGTTTTGCCATTCAGCCTGCCCTCAGCTGGTCACAGGTGTAAAAATGGAAAGGTAGCTATTTTAGGATATGCTCAAGTATAGTTTCTCCATATTCAATAACAAAAAATCAATTTAGTTGGACTTCTCAAAGTGTCTTTGGATAAATTTCATTAAAGTACATATTAGTACTATTTTAGTATCTATATATATTTTAAAACAGTTAAAACTATCAGAAAATTATATGAAAACCAATTAAAATGCAATATTCATGTTGGTCATTTACGAGTATTGTTAAATGGGAAACCAATTGCATTTTGTTTTTGAAACATAATTTTTATGTATTGAATCATTGTAAGTCTTACGAAGCTAAGGACTTTATCCTGAAAAGAGTATATTTTTAGTATAGTCTTCTAGCAGATTTATTGCAGAAAAAATGAGCATAAAGAAATACCTCTGGTTTTACATTTATTGTAGTATTTGCCCTCTTATGTGCAAGGACCACTCTCCTAAGTAGCCTGTTGGTGCTCTTAGCTTTTTGACTGGGCATTCCTGTAAGGTTTTGCTTCCATGGAGTTTAGTTCGTTCATTTGAAGCAAAGCTTGCATTGTGCAGTAGAAATATTCATGAAAACTTTTTTGTTAAATTTTGTTTATTTATTTAATTTTTAATAAATTGTGATGTTTTAAATCACCAGGGTTGTTCAATATTTAAAAGGAATTCTGTAGTGAAACTTTCTGACAGGAGAATTGTCTTTTAATGAACATAGTTACCTATAGGTATCTAGACTTTTTTATTCTGGCTCTTCTTAAAATGAAATTTGACATCATCCTTTGAGGACAGGAAAGTATTGTATATAGATGTTAATTTTTTGAAATAGAGGGACATCACAAAACATACTGTTATACAGTTTGTCCTAACCTTAGTTATAATAGGAAAAAACTTAAGCCATTATGTCAGATAAAATTCTTGGAATCATTTCAGTATAGAGATCATATGCTTTTTAGTTGATAATAGTAGATAAAATTAGATGTTTTTTTATTTATGTATTTTTGCAAGTCAGAATTCAGTCTTGAAAAATTTTAGTTTTTATAATTCTTATTTTTAATTTTCAAAAAGCATTTTAAGAAGCAAAAGAGGCTAATTCCTGAAAGAACTGTCTGGAAGTACTTTGTTCAGCTCTGCAGTGCATTGGAACACATGCATTCTCGAAGAGTCATGCATAGAGGTAAGATAAAATCATTAAGAACTTTTAATCTTGTTGTAAATGATGTAAGTTCTTCAAAATAAACATCTTCCAGTCATTACATAATACTATACTTTTTCAGGTAATTATTTTCAAATTATAATTATGTTAGAATGTTAAACCTTTAAATAAAATGCTACTTGGTTTTAAATAAGAATGTAAATTAATCTTCTGCTTGACTTTTGAGCGTCTTACTAACCAGTAAGATGCTATTGGTAAAGACAAAACAGCAGTCAGATATATATATAAGGAAGAGTTTTTAGTTTCTTCAAATAATGTATATTATAACCACTTAGATTTTTAATATTCAGTATTAGCTCAGTATTCTTGATTATCAATCAAGTGGTTAAGCAGAGTGTGTTAAGGTTACATCAATAAGTAATTGATCCATTGATACTGAAATGTGAAAAATTTTAATACAATTCATTTATGCAATTAAGATTTTTAAAGCCATCTAAGTAAATAATTATTTGCCTAATATTGTTGTCGTGGTTTTGTATTTTATGCAAATCTATGAAGTTAATCTTTAGTAAGATTTTATTTAAAATTGATATCGAAAGGACATGTGTATTTTGTGCTTTGAATTTCACAACAGGATTCTTGAAAATGGAAAACAAAATGCATTTGAAATAGAAATTAATAATCATGTTCATTTTGCTACATTGATGATTATTCATGTATCAGAGAATTGAGAACTTCTAGGTATTAGGATACATCAGAATTATTCAAAATAAAGTTATTGGTTCATAATTCAGACCTTCATGATTCAAATACATTTTAAATTCTGTCATGAAAAGTAGTTATTATTAATTCCTTCAACGTTTCTAAAATGTCTATCATCTTTTACCTGATCCCTTCATTTATTCACAGATATAAAACCAGCTAATGTGTTCATTACAGCCACTGGGGTGGTAAAACTTGGAGATCTTGGGCTTGGCCGGTTTTTCAGCTCAAAAACCACAGCTGCACATTCTTTAGGTAAGAGACACAATATAATTTCATTTAGTTACTTTGTGTGTGTGTGATTAAAAGGTAAGAGGTGTACCAATTACATGCCAGCTGTTAGATTCTTAATAAAACTTTTAAAAATCATCAGGTCCTGAACAGATGCCAGTAACTCTCTATTAGGTATAAGGGTTCCTCTAATATGACATTTGGATACTACTGGTAACTTGACCTCAGGCAGGCACTGAGTTAAAAATGCTGATAAATCTGGTTTAACTTTGCCATGGAAAAGTCCTTTTATTCTACATTTAATAATAGGTAATATGGTGACTAAGCTGTCCCTTGGAAGAGGACTTTACCTATTTAAAAATACAGTAGTAGACTGTAAACATTTATGTATTAAAATAACAGAGATGGCTGTGAGTATTGTTTAGAAAGAATAGAAATTACTAGAAAGAAATAATTTTTAAATCAAACAACTTAAAATGAATGACAGAGCTTATCTTAAAACTCCTCAAATTGTATTTTCTCCTTGTAAGTCCAGGACTTAGATCAAATGGTGACAATCAGAATTCAGTAAAAGTTATGTTAAAAGTAAGTTGGCTTTAATTTAATGGTGCTCATCTTTGGTGTCATAATTTCATTGAAAGTCATTTTTTTTTATAAAATTGTTTTGAAATATGAAATAAAAACCTTTTAAATGGCCTGATGAGGAATAAGTGAGTTACACTAAACAACAAAATACTGAAATGAGCATCTGAGTTAGTTGACTAGAGTTTTTAAGTTTTTCTGGCTTTGTTACCTAAAGTTCTCTATGTCCTTGAACCTGTCATTGACTTTTTCTGTATTTCTAGAACAGTACCTAAAGCGTAAGTACTCAATTAATATTCACTGAATTACAAAATATTGTATCCTAGTTTCAAGAATGTTGAAAAGATAATGCTTTGCATTTTTAACAGAATTTGAATTTTGTCAAGTATTTTGAGGAAATGAAGTTTCACAGTGATGCTGAGTAACAGTTTTTTCTCCTTTCACTTCACATTTATTTTATAATTTTTCCTGAATAAAGAAACTTGACATGAAATTCCATAAAAAATGCATAAGTCTGCTTAGCACTTTAATAAAACTTTATTTTGGGAAGTTACAATTCATGCAGTACAAAGAGTGGAGGATTTCTGTAGAGAAAACCGTAGGCTGTTCCAAGCCGGTGCCATTTATCACTAGTAGATAACTGTTTTCACTTTTTGTTACTCATCTGAATAGAATAATGTCATAAAAGCTTGCTGTCACTAGTTTAGTTAGAAATGCCAGGCTGCAATTACACACACACACCTGCACATGCCCGTGCTCATGCACATACATGTGTTGTTTACTTGCTGCTTTGCAGACTGTCCCTGAGCCTTCTATAGTAATCCATTCTGAAGGATCCAGCGTTATTGTATGAAATATATCTTAACCAGTTTGTTTAGTTTGCCTGATACTGTCTCTTGCAAAAGTTCTAAACAGAATTTACGAACATATATGCATCTCCAGATTGAGGTGATGTGCTAGTCAAAATTACATGATAGAGTAAAATTAATTTTAATAGATTTAATAATTCACTATGAATTTCTAATACCAATTTTTTCAAAATCAACTCATTTAGGGTCATGTGGTTATATATATTATATATATACATTATGTATATTTATGCAATATATGTTATCTATAATATGTATCTAATACACACATATATATATAATGTGCGTGTGTGTGTATATATAGATATACACACACACGCACATTATAAATAAAATACGTGGTCATGCCCATAATTACTAAGCATTTTATGACATACCTGAAATATAGCAGTGAAAAAATAGAAATGAGACTGTTTTCTTAACATATGAATTAGTAGACAAATAATTTTTTCACAAGTTTTTTTTGTTTTACGTATTATTTTGAGAAAAAAAGTCTCCTGAAAATAAGAAAATTTCCTTTATCCCTGCTTGTCTTCTCTGTGAACTGAAGATTTTAATAGTTTAAAACTAAAATTCACTAAGCACAGTCCATTGAATGCTGAGAATTAAAATTTGGATTCTAGTCTACTAAGGCTCTTTGGATCCCATAAAAATCCTACTTGGAAGAGTCCAGAAAAACTCTCTGCTAACATACAATATATATAGAAATCCTGACAGACATTCTTGATGACACGTTGACCCTAATTTTGCTTACAGAACACATGATAGAACTATAGATTTTATTGTATGTTAATTCATGTTTTAATTTTACTGAGGATACAGTGTGTAGGGAATGATTCATCCATAGATCAGGTCTAAATTTCAGTGAAATTATAAATAAATGAGATCTGTATGTAGTTTATAAGGAAAAATCTGAATAAGTTTAAACAAAGTTTGTCCTAGAGCCAAATTTCTTTTAACTTTGGAAAGGAGGTATTTTCAAGAATTTAATTTTAAAATGCAAAGATACGTAAGGTTTTAAAAAACATCTTATGCATTTATATTTTTAAAATATATTTTAGTTGAAAAATCAAATTAAGATGTGATTTTAACTTTAATTCATTAATAGGCCTACGCCCTATCGAAACTATTTTGTATTTAACAGTTCTTAAGAGATTGGAAAGTCTTTGCATTTTCAGTTGTCTCTTCATTTTGTGTCTTATGTTTGTATCTTTTGATTCCCTGACAAATCAACATACAATAGAACATGTAGTTCTGTCTTATCTTCTGTAAGGAAATAAAGTTCTATAGATGGCCACATTTTCAGTCACTTTTCAGAACCAGTAGTAATTCCTTGAATACAAAGATTAAAAATTACAGATAGTAAATCTCATGTTGCTGGATGTTCAAACTATGTTCAGATCTTCAAAACTGAAAAATGTCCTAACAGGCCTTAACTTCTTTTTCTGCTTCCTCTCTGCTACCACCACATATATTGTCTCAAAATATCTCTACTTTCCTTTCCCTCATCCTTACTCGGTAATTACTTCACATTTGGACTAGGAGATACCCTCTTTTGTTTCTGATATTCTTCATAATCCATTCTGAATGTTTCTACTAGAGTTATCTTCCTCAAAGACATTATCTGATTGTGTTACTTCCCTCAAAATCCTCCTTGGTTCCCTGTTGCCTGAAGAATATCATGTGAAGTCTTTTGCCTGGCATTCAGAGCCCTTAACAGTTTGGTGTCCTCTAACTTTCCAATCTGATTATTGACTATATCTCCCACTCGTGATGTGCCAGCATGTTTTCCCTGTTGCTTACTTTGAGAAATAGCATGATGTTTTGGAAAGAATCAAGAACGCTGGGATTTGCCTGCTCTGTAGGACCTTGATCAAGCCATTTATTAACTTTTCTAAAACTCAGTGTCTGTATTTATAAAAATAGAAATGCAGGTAATAACCAACCTGTGTTGTTCCTTAACTCCTAATCAGTCCCTGACCAAATAGTATAATGAATGCAAAAGTATTTTCTTAATACTGTAATAAACCATATTCAGTGGCTTATGGTGGTGGTGAAGTGGTGAAGATACAGAAAAAGAAACGGGGAGGTGGAGAAGTTCTTCATGTACAGTTTATTTATTTTGCCTGAACTGACCGATTCAAAAAATGGCTTTCATACCTATTATATGCAGGTGCTATTCTAGAGAAAAGGAATGTAGGCTGAGCAAGACAAGTCCGTGTCCTCAGGGAGCTTACATTGTGGTGGGAGGAAATAGATAATAAACAAAAAACTAAGATGAATTATTAGTGATGTGATAGAAAATGGCCAGTTGGGGAACTAATTTGGAAAGAGTGAGGTGGAGCAAGGCCCCTTTGGGAGGTGATATTTGAACTGACATGCAAAGGATGCAAAAGGGACAGCTATGAAATAATATCACAGGCAGACTGAAGAGCATTCCACACAAAGGGTGGATATAGGATAAGCTCTGTCTGCAGAAGGTTTGCTGGAACTTGGTGAAGGAAAGGCAGGGTTGGATATAGGAGGAATTCACATTTTATTCTAAGTGTGGTGGCAAGCTTTTACAAGATTAAATGTAATGAGGAGAGTGACGTGATCTGGGTTGAAGGCAGCAGCCATGAACCTCCTTCATCTTCTTTGGGCTAAGCATGCCCAGCATAGTCTCCTGTGTTCAGGGTCTTGTGTGTCCTGCGAGTCTGCATCTTTTCCTCTCAGAGTGTCCCTTAGTATGTGCTACCCAGAACCGAACAGAGTTACACCACATCAGAACTCGTTAGCCCATAGAACAGAAGGTTTGCACTGCCTGTGACCTGTGATCGAGACAGTCGTTTGGTTTTTTTGGTCCCTTTTCCTCCTTCCACCGTCACTTTTGTTTTTACATGAAGTTATGTTAAGGAAGATTTTCCTTTGTTGCTTTTGTATTAATTTGGATGGAGGTGTGGCTAGGGAGACTAATTGTAGGATATTATTTATATATCCTTATGAATTTTGCCTTGTTTTATTATTTGTTAATCTTATAAAAACATATGTTAAGAAACTTACCTATGTCTACATCTTTAAAATTTATCATGAGGGCACAACTCTCTCTTAAGCTTTCTAATAAGACAGGTCAGTGGCTTTCAAATTTCTTGACAATGATTCAACTGCATTACATTCTGATATTGTCTGTTCTGTTTTATTTCACTAGATATCACACTGGTTACAACCCACTAAATTGATTTCACAACTCATTAGTGGGTTTTATGACCCGCAATTTGGAAAGTATTGATTAAGTTCTGCAGTGTCTTCATGCTGTTTCATTTACTTAAAGGCTAATTCACATTTTCTTCCTATTTTTAGACATTCTCCTGACTTGTTATCTGGCCGGTTGAATTGGTCAATCATAAATTACTCATTTATACTGCTCCTTGTTCTTCCAGAGGGATATAATAACTTGCATCATAGTTCTTTACAGTCTGCAAATCATTCAACTCTCTAAAATCCTTACACATACATGTCAGCTATGCACATGAGCTGTTCCTGTTTTGAAGTTGAGAAAATGAAGCAGAGAAAGGTAAACAGCTAGAAGATAGT